GGGGTGGGGGCACTCAGGACGACCACCCTCCCCCGTCTCGGCCTCCCCCTCCCTCCTCCCAACCGGGCGGGGGGACCGTCTGGCTCCAGCTCCCACCTACCAAGGCCCAGCACAGGCGCCCATGAGACACCCCATCCCGACCCCGCTGTCCCGAAGCCGAGGGGCTTTGGTGGGCGCCCCGGACGCACCCCTTGCTTCTCACAGCCCACGCTGAGTGCAAGCTCATCACGAGCCATGCTGGACTGTGCTGAGCGACGCACCCCGACCCGGCCCGTGTCGGGCCCCCCGTTACCTGTCCAGCTTCTCCTCCGCGTGCACCTTCAGGGCCTGGTACCTCTGCTCCTCCTTCTTCACACGGGACAGGTATTCCTGGGCGCACTTCTTCAGCACCTCTTCATTCTGCCGCGACAGAGGCCGACGCTCAGCCGCTGAGCCACGCCGGCTGGGCGGGCATGGCATTTTAAGGGACAGGAGGTCCTTCAGGCCTGTGGGTCCCCCTGAGAAATGACTGGGAGCCAAATAATCTATCTACATCCCAGCTCTAGCTGTGTGACCTGGGGCAAGTGACACACCCTCTCTGAGCCTGGTTCCATCTCGAGCCCACGGAGGAAATGCCACTGGGAACCCCAGAACTCTGACGAGGGTGTAACTCAGACGGCCAATCCGACTCCCCCGCGCCCCCCCTCCCCGACCACACACGCACCTTGCGGAAGCCCTCCAGCACCTCCTTCATCTTCTCGTATCTCCGGAAGAGGTCGGCCAGGGACTTCTCCACGGAGTTCAGGTCGGCCAGGGCCTGCTCCTTCTCCAGCACCAGCTGCTGCACCGTTTGGTGGGAGACCGACTTCTCCCGCTGCTCGTCCTCTGGCAGGAGAGAGCACCAAGCCATGGGGCCCACGGAGCCGGGCCTGGTCTCAGGCGCCAAGGCCTCAGCCTCACCAGCGGGCAGCTCGGACTCAGCGAGACCCTGTTCTGAGCCCCCGGACTCGCCAGGAACCAACCCCAGGACCCTGCCTCCGGGGCCTGGACGGGGACGGGGTGTTAGCCACCGTTCTTTACACTGATGGGGAAAATCTACGGAGGAGACGCCAGTGGTTCAAACAGACCCACAGGTAAGAGAGACAACATCACCACTGAGCAGTGTGCTGGGCAAGAGTGACGGGCCTGCCGTCTGGGCTGGGGGGGGCGGGCCCTCCTGAGTGTGGTCACGATAAACAGACGGCCCGGCCGGTGTGGCTCAGGGGCTGAGCCTCAACCTATGACCCAGGAGGTCCGGGTTCGATTCCCGTCAGGGCACAGGCCCGGGTTGTGGGCTCCATCCCGTGTGCGGGGCGTGCAGGAGGCGGCCGATCCATGATTCTCTCTCATCATCGATGTTTCTCTCTCTCTCCGTCCCCCTTCCTCTCTGACATCCATACAGACATATTTTCAGAGATAAAGAGGCGAAGGTCGCTTCCCTGAAAGCCTCTCAGGGAGCTACTCCTGTCAGAACGAGTCTGTTATGCACCAAAGGCCGTGGGGGAGGAGGGGGGAGAATTGGCATCTGTCTGTGGCACGTCCCCGGGGGGGAGCACACCCGGGGGACCCCAGGCCCGGAAGGTGCCCGATGTCCCCTCTGGCCCGGCCTCGGAGCCCCCCCCCCG